GAATCTGTGGTATGAGAAGGGAGAGCAAGGATAGCGGAGATGGCATCATTCAGCTGACTTCCTTCTTGACTTCTGGATAGTGTTGGGAATAGGTTGGAGGGTTTAGGGAAATCATTAGGCAGAAATCAGTAAAACCTATTGTTTTCCTACTATGTTGTTTTTGCTCTGTAACACTGTGCAGTTGGCTTAAAAAATAAGGTGTAGGTCTCTTGCTTTGCCCTGTGTCCCTTGTTCCTATTAAAGTGGCGGTTTCTCTCCATCCGGGGCAGCCTTTCTCGCTGTGTTGAGTGGCGTGCACTCCTTGTCTGGAGCTCTGTGGATTAGTTCAGTGAATTCCTTGGGCATGCCACCTGCCACTCCTTACTGTTTCATCAAAAGTAGCTGGCTTTGGACTGTTCCTATTTTGTAAAATTTTAGGTGCAGAACCTCAACAGAAATTTGGCTTGCTTTACACATACTTGAAGCTGTTTTTTTCCCTCCCTTCCTCTCCTAGCTGCACTATTTAATATGCTGAGTCTTTCTGGTTTTGCCTTTCAATTTGCTCTTTCAGCCATACTCCATTTATGTTCTTGCATAGAGTACTGTCAGTGTCAGGGTTGTGGCCAGGTGGCGGCCTTTAAATCTATCTATCTATCTGTCTATCTTGTCCCTCTTTTTTTCTTTGGACTTCACTAGAATTCCAGGAAATCTTTTCTTGGGTGAATTTTGGAGGAGGAGGAAGAATAATTCTGTCTTGAAAACTGCAGGTATCCTTTCCATTAAAAATAGTATTGTTTTCTGGTCTTTATTAAGTTTTTTCCTGTATTCTGTCATCTTACCTATGTTCTTTGCATTTAATTATTTCCTGTATGTCTTTTTCTTCCATTTTTCCCCCGGTTCTCTACTCTGACTTTTAAAAATTAGTTCTGTTATATTATAACAGCTAAATATACCTGTTTCTCCAGGTATTGGGTGGTCATGCCACTATCCAATTGTTCTTTTGGGTCAAATTATTTACTCTATTACTGTTGTCTTCCTCATTGAATGTTTTCCAAACCACAACCCCCTTGAATTTTACACCCATTCCAGTTTCTCGTGAGTTCCTCTTTCTGACAGCGTTAGCTGTGAACACCCAGAGCTTTCTCTCCTTATTTGCTCTGCTGCTTGTTGCTGCTGAACAATGATGCCTTTAAAATATCTTAATCCTCCTGTGGATATAAATCACTTGCTAGGGTTCCCAGTTCCCATAATATGTGGTTTTCTAGTGTGTGACTATTGCCCCTCTAGTCTTTCTTGCTGAACTGTTTGCCCTGATACAGAATTCATTTTGGGATGAGTTTCTGAAAATAACCTGGGATTTCTCAAACTAAGCTGGGCTGTTTCTTAACAAAAATAATTCTTAGCCTGAAGCAACTGAAAAATGTTTTTCTTCTGCCAAATAAGAGGAACGGGAAGCATCTCCTACCTAAGATCCCTGCTAACTCTGGACTACAACTCTATGATAAGCTATTAAACTGACCTGTTTATGGAATAAAACAAATGTGAAGGTTCCTTAGCTAACTGTATTTCAACATTAACATTAAGGGTTCAAGATATTAAAATACAGCATAACTAATAGGTATTTCAAATAGTCTACATAAAGGCAGAATATTTTCTGTTTTCTTTTGTTGAAAAGAATTTTTCTTCCCTATTTCTACAGTTCTGTGCTGTTTGTATCTGTAACAAGTATTCCAGTTGCAGATAAGTCAGCTGAGTTTCAATGGTAACTTCAGTTCATTTTATTTACAAATAACTGTGGGTTTGAATGCAATTCATTAAACTGATGCATTTAGAGTAAAATTTTACTTGAATAAAGTTCAACTAAAAACTAATGGGCCAAAGTCTTTTCAAACTTCTGATCTTGATCTTAGATACTTGACAAATTTTTGACGCTTTCATGTTACGAAGTATTTGATGAAGAAAAAGGAAAACTGGGAGGAAACTTTTTCTCCCTATAGATGATCTCGCCGTCTGGAGCAAAGCAGCACCAGCAATACTTGATTAATTTCTACACCGCCATGTTCTCTGTGATATGTATGTGTAGCATTCGTGACAAGTCAATGGCCCTACAATAGAGCCATTAGATATGCAAAACAAAAAAAGATGTTAAGGTTGTGTCTGCTCTTCATAAGTACAGGGAAGTCGAGGAGTTTTGATTAGCCCAGTGGAGTAGCTTTTCAAAGTTTAGAAAAAAATGAACTTCTGTCAGAAAATAGGAGATGTATGTCAGTGAACGCTGTGATTCACAGGGAGAAAATACAAGTAGTTTTTATGACCGTAGACCTCAAAGCCCATCTGTGGGCACTCTGGAAAGCAGACTGCAGTATAAAGGCTGGGAACTTGAGGCAAAATTATCTCTTGACCTACAGGGTCCTGTAGTGCCATAGGGCATATCTATGAAGACCTCACTGGCAGAAGCTCTGAAAGTTCTTAAAAAATAACATTAAAACTAAGACAAGATAAAAGACGAGTAGAATGGCTATGAAGTTATGTTAGTGGCACCTCATATGTTAACAATACTTCACCCATTGTGCTTAGTTCTTCACTCATACTATTGTAGCAATGTAATTTCTTCTGTGTCAAGATCTTTTTCAAAAATGCATTCATTCATTTTTTCTAAGTTCTTCATATTTGCTGTCATCACTTTCTTCATATTCTAGCATCCCACTTCAGTGGTTCTGATTAACATTTTCTTTATCTCTGCTGTCATCTTGGAGGTGGGAATCTGGTGTGTAATAAAATAGTCAAAATGCCCCAGTTGTGCAGTCTTGTAGTATTCTTCTGAGTGCTGATGTATTCTGAAGCTTGTGTCCCTGTTTTCAAGAACTAGCTGAGTAACTCACGACCTTTGGAAAATCTGAGTGGTTTAACTGTGGTTCAGAATAATGTGTGAGTCTGGCTAGAGGTATGCAGTCATATCTGCTCTCAGCTGTCCTCTTGTCATCCTCTGTTGTGTTCTTCTAGCATCTGGCCTTACCTTGGGCTCGTCACAGAAACATTAAACAGATCATCAAAATGCCCTTGAAATACTCTGTGCCCTCCTTAGGAGAGGAGAGCAAAGCCAGGATGGTGTCCTTGGGTGTGGTGTGCTTTGCCTAGGTTGGACTCAAACCTTTGAATCCTTCATGCTCATTCTGTGTGAAGGCTGTGACTGGATCCATTGCCACGTCTCCGCGTAGACGGGTTCAGCGTGTGGGCGGTCTGCCATTATGGAAGGGTGCTGTGCAGGGATTATTGCTGTAGTGGACAGGGGTTGGTTGGTTTTGTTGGCCTCCTGGCGGAGGTTGCTGTTACGTACAGTAGCAGTTCAGCCAAGGTGACAGAAGCTTCCTTGTGAAATGAACTGAAAGGTGCTCGGGTTTCAAAGTGCTCACAATTCTCACGTCCTGTTAGGTGAACTCCAGATAAACAAGAGCAAGCTGTTTGACCTGTGCCCAGAACATTTGAATGACTAAATAGGAGGAGAAAATAAGATCTCTATGGACCAGTCTGACCTTGCAGGCTAGAGCCCTGAAATCGGCCCGTGCTTTCAGCGCATCTTGGTGGCCATAAATCCCAAGAGAAAACGTTCTATCACAAGAAATTCTCGATTAACTCTGCAAGATTCAGTTTTAACTTCAATTATATTTGTATCCCTTCAGTTATTTGAAAGAGTTTAAAATAGCCCAGCTTCCAGAGGCACTTGCATTTAAATGAAAAACAAACAAACAAACAAAAACCCCAAAAAACCCAAAAACAAACTAGAAGTTGGAACCATGTTCACTTTGTTGTTTGTGTACATCTTTCCTCCCATTTCCAAGAATTGCATCTCATACCCAATTTCTTTTGCAGTTTTGTTCAGTGGAGGGACTGCTGTATGTCAGCCATGCTAAAGGGCAAGTGATGGAGGCAAGTACTAGTTTATATATTCAGTTATCTAATATTGTTTTTTCCAGTTTCTCCTTTTGAACTGTTTTGTTTCCCAGTGCTGCTGTGAAATAATTGCACAAATGAAGGACTACATTAGCATGTTCTGGGATGTAATAATGCTATAACATCTGCTCAGTATGACTGTATACGGAATTGTGAATTTTCTCTGATGTATTATATTCTCGCACGAATAAGAAATGTATGTTTTTTGAACTTCATGCTGTAAAGTACTCCATTTCCTCCCTCAAACAGAATATAAACATTGTTTTAAGTGGGGAAAAAAGGCAAGCACAAAACTTGAATCCTAATGCCAATAAATGTGCTAATTAATTCTGCTGATTCACAGTTCTTCACATTTATGAGTAGTTTTTTCCCCAAAAGTAGATAGTAGGACAAATAAGTAGTTTTAGGGATCTTCATACAAGATATACAATTTGAAAAGCTCTTTTCAGGCTCACAACAGACTCGGCATATGGAAATACGAACAGATAGATGACCACAAAGCTCCCTATAGGAGCTTCTTAAAGATAATGAGTAATTTCAGTGTAATTTCAGTGTAATTTCAGAAATCAGTCACAGAATACAGAGGGGTAGTAGTCACTTGTTTGTGAGCTGACTGTAGGCCGATTTCTTTCTGGTTGGTTTGTAAATTGGCATATGGCTAATTTAAGCAGGTTAATGGTTTCCAGCAGATAACGCATGGATCTCTAGCTAGACTGAAGTGGTGTTCTTTAAGATCAGCAGTATTACCGGTGGTAATCTGGATAGAAAGTGTGCAGGAGATCAAAAAGATGCTGGTTAGAGAGCATATTGGGCATCTTTGATATGAAATACAGTTCTTCAGTGAGTCCCGACTGAAAAATGAATACTGAGGGAATTAGCTAAAATGAAAAAGGCAGTTATGGGCCAGCTGTCAGGTTTGTATTTTATATGCCAGATAATTTTGGAAGTCTTGCTTTTTAGCCACTGAGGTTTGTTCACTGAACCATTTGGTCTGCTGGATGAAAAAGAAAATCTAGTTTTGCCTTTTTTTCCCCAAAACTTAAGCAGAGACCTGCAATTCAACTTTCTGGAAAACGTGTTACATGAGAAAAAAGAAATATTAAGGAAGAGCATGCTCAAAAGTCAAAGCATAATACTAGTCATAAAGGCACTTGAAGTCATTTATGAAAGTGTTAAGTATGTAAAAATACAAGGTGGGTTGCCCATTTTTTTGATTTTGCCACACAATTTCTGCATGAATATGGGTAACTATATTTTTCTGGGATGTAGTTTATTACTTTGCATTTAATGTGTTACTGATTAAACTGGCCAGTATATTTAGAGTCACTGTTATAACGTGTTCAAAGTACTGAGATAAAATCCTGTATCATTCCAGTATTTTGCTTTCTGTAAGTACTGAATTTCATCTTGCCTCCAGCTGATAGCAACGACATTTGAAAAAAAGAGAGTGTGAGGCAGCTCTTCTGATATTTTTGGATGCCAATTTGGAAAGCATTTTGGGATATCTGTTTAACCCATTGTGTCAGTTTTAGATGCACAAAATTGAGAGCGCTCTAATTGTAACCCCAATGCATTATGTTTCTGCAGCTGTTTTAAGATAAAAATGAATGCTCTCAAATCCCAAACATATGTTGCATTTCAAATAAAATGCTTTTTTTTAAAGCACAGGCTGCTTTCTGCCAAGATTGAGGTAGACCTCTGTGATCTGGTTTCTGTATTTATAGAAGCCTAATCAAAGCTTTCTCCTGCAAGAAAACAATGATCAGCTTCCGAGCATGTGATCTCATGGTGCTGATGTGAAACTCTTTCAGATACCGTGTCCTTCCTTCCTTCCTCATTCCTTTGCTGTATTTCTCCAATAGTGTGTTGCTATATAAGTGCTCAGCTGCAATGTCATATAACCAACTCCTGCCTGAGCCCAGCTGATAGGTAAGGTTGCGATCTCTTGGAGAAAAGCTGCATGTTTCCTCTCTGCTAGAGACCGAGCAACACACATGTGGTGCTGCTCCCTTTGAGACTGGTTGCTTAATCTACCTTTAAAAGGGCATTTTTGTTTTCTCTGAGAACTATGGACAAGACTATGCCAATTGAAAGCATTTCACTTGCCCATTCTTGCTTGAAGACAGATTTTCACATCTAGTTTCCAGTGCCATCAGTGGATGTTGGCAGTAATATGCCATTTCTTACTATTTGGAAATGCATAAATGATTTGGAAATGTTCTGTTTTCTTGCATATATTAAATACTGTGAAGTTAGGCATTCTACAGGAAAATCAGATGGGCAGAGCAGACATTACATTTGAAGGACAAAATATCAGATCTTTGTCAAGGAACAAAATTAATTCTGCCAAAGAGACTAACATGCTCTTCAGAAGTTTAACCTCGTGTTCTGTTTGATATTATTATGGGCTTGTTTTTAATAAAAACTGGTTTCTCCTTGCTTCTCCCCCTTTTGAACAGCTTTTTTTACCTTTCTTGCTTTCCTATACCCTTTGTGCTGGGCTTTTTCCCCTAGGCAATGAATGACTTGTCTCATACAAGCTTTGGCTTCTGCGTACAGCCTAGATGCAACTAATACCACATGGAGAGATGCTTGGAAAACTGATACATTTTGTTTTGTTAATGGCATGTTTTGCGCATTGGATTTTTTAACCCACTACTTTCTGCATGGATGTATAATAATGACTCTTTTGTTTAACATTAGATAAGCATGAGATCACCGTGGCACAGCTGCATGTGTAGTCACTCTTGAAGCAATTGCACACCTAATTGGCTGACAATCTTGGCATTTTTAAAACAAACACAAGCCTTTTAAAGACAGGGGACGTATTCATGTATGAGTAGTCCAATAAACCTGTTGGGTGTCATCAATGGAGCCCCCTGGCACTGAACAGCTGTGTGATGACCCTGATCCTGGAGGCAAATCCCAAGATCAAGAGACCAAAAAACAACATGAATCAGAGCAAAAATTATCCAAAATAACCCATAATGCTTTGGAGAACATTAATGTGATTGGTCAAGGCTTGAAGCACCTTTTCCAGCATCAGCGCAGGAGGTCGTCAGTTTCTCCACATGATGTTCAGCAAGCTCAGGCTGATCTGGAGCCTGAAATGGATCTGGAAAGCCAAAGCGTCTGTGCTGAAATTGATGGTGTCTCCACCCACCCCACAGCTCTGAACCGGGTGCTTCAGCAGATCAGAGTGCCACCTAAAATGAAGAGAGGGACGAGCCTGCACAGCAGGCGGGGCAAGGCAGACGCCCCGAAAGGAAGCCCACAGATCAACAGAAGGTCTGCCCAAGATATTCAGTCAGGTCGGCCCAGATCGTCATCTACTACAGATGCTCCCACAAACTTGTCCGTGATGGAGATTGCTTCTTCTATCTATGTAGGTGGAGAGGAGGCCACAGCAGCAGCAGTAAGTTACTCAGATTTACCTTTGGTCTTTATCATCTCCTTGTATGTTTTCTTAAGCCTTTTGAATCTTGTTTTTAAAAGCAAGTTTCTTTCAGCAAACACTAATGCTACTGTGTTCAAAAGCTTCGTCAGCGGTGAAGCAAAGAGCTTAAAGGATGCAAGCATTAGTCATTTTCTCACATGGCAGGTGGCTTATTTTATATGTATTTGATCAGTGAAATGAGAGCTACTTTTGAAACACATTTGGTTGGTTGGATGGCACACCACAGTCAAACAAGGAGTGATGGGAAGAGCAGCAGCCAGAGTAGTCCTCCTTAGCAACTGTTATTTAGCTCCTGCAACAAAACCTTGCATTTACGTAGATGGCTTTTTTCTTCTCTTCTTGTTTTATTGCATATTTTATAAAAAGTGAGGAATTGCAGTTTGAGTGAATGGTGCTGTTGAGAGGCTTTGGGAAGACTGGCTACAGCCTGCGATTGAACTGCAATGCCAGGCTGACTGAATCTGATTTAGATCAGTCTGGCTACTGTGCTGACAGGGGATCACTGCTGTCTCTTTTAGTTTGTCTAGCCTGGGTGGAAAAAACGTTCACCGAAATGACAGTCTCTCTTCTGTGACGTGACGTGTTCTTGCAAAGCTATACATATCATTTTATTGATGATATCAAGAAGTAGTGTTTGTCTTACCATCTCTCTTCTTTCCCAGATCAATTTAGTTGAAGCACTCTTGGTTTTTTGGTTTGGTTTTTTTTTTTTTTGGTTGGTTGGTTTTTTAGAATAACTAGGCTAATTTGAGCTATAACCTATATTTTCCTAAAATTCTTTGCAGGTTTGTTCATTGGAGGAAAAACCCTTTGATAAAGATAGGAAGCATTGTGAAACTGATTTCTGGTTCGTATCCTCTTAATTAAAGGGGGTCTGATCATGACTCTTGGACCAAGAGAAACAATCCTGCTAGTGTTTGATGCTGTTGAGATAGCACGGTCCTGAAGTTTACGTAGATTTTTCGTGATGGAAATTTGTTCTTATATACTACAGTTTCTTTGACGTTGGCTAGATGATGATGGATTGGGGCTGAATAAGATCTCCTCAGTCATCCAGAGGTTGCCTCACCTTGCCTCTGCAGCAAGATTGTTCCCTTGTTGTACATTGTTTTCCTCCCCTTGAAGCCTGCTTTGAAATAGTGCAAGTGAAAACCTTTTCAGAGTATTCGGCAGTATAATATGCTTTCAGTGTATTTCCCTGATAGTCATCTGGAAATTGGCATATCTTGCATTTATAGATCGTAATTACAAAGTATTAGCATGAATTACAATATCATTCTAAGGCAGTGAGTAAAGTTTCCTCTTGGGAGAAGCATTGAAGGAGTCCTCCTTGAGCTGTATCTGAGGTTTTTGTTTCTTGCCAGCAGTTAAAAGAACAAAAATAGTAATAAGGTAGTGAGGAAAAGTGTACGCTCTCCTAGGATGGGTTAACTTTGCAATTGTGCCATGCCAATCGAGCCATTAGGAGGCCTCAAGAAGATGCCTCTTAATAGCTTCAGGTTTATTTGCCTACTGGCTCTCTTTTCATTGTGAGTGAACTCATGATCTTTGTTTCAGGAGAGTTTTGGGGAAAGTTGATAGTTTTCTGAGTTTGTACCCAAATCCAGCAACTTAAGTTTATGAAGCAAGCTCTGATTTGTTGGTTTAAAACTGTAGTTCCTTTACTTCATGTATGAGCAGGGAGATTGTACAGGCCTAAGCATATTAGGTAAGTAATATGGGAATATGGAAAAAGACTTGGAGTGAGGTGTCCTTTCTCCCAGCTACATCAGCTGGTCTGATGAAATGTTACCACCTTCGCCTAGATCAGTGGTCTCCAAAGTGGGGTGTGCGCAAGACAATCCATTGGAGTGTGGGAAGAAAATATTCTTTTGTACCGCTAATAAGTAAAATACTTTCTTGAAATAATGTTTGTTTTATCTTTATTTTCCCTTTAATTTCTATTTTTGTGTATGTTTTTTAATGTATTAGTTCAGTAGTCCATGTATATAGTTTATAAATAAATCTACATGTATTGACAGTCCATGCTGAAAAATCTTTTACTGATACGGGTGCGCAATCAAAGTTTGGCCTGGATGAATCGGATCACTTGGCAGGAGTGACTGGAAAATTGAGAACTATTAATCTGGTAGTAACTGCATTCTGCTACAGCATCTCCTATGTGTGAGAACAAATTTAGGAGTCAATTTTTGATAGATATGGCCTTTGATTACAGAGAAGCAGCAACTGTAGCTGTTCTCCCTGTTGAGAAGCATGCCATACTGAGAAGCGTTTTCTGTGAACGGTGCTTCTGCTACTTAACCAAGTAGTCGTCTCGGAGGTGGATGTGAGAGCAGTTCTTGTTGCTGTTTGTCATGTTCTCTGCTGGTATGCCCTGTGACATGAAGAAAAGGGGCTGTTCAGGCTTTCTCCCCCCATATTTAAGAGAGAAAGGAGGGGACTGGAGTCTGAAAGAGGTAAATGAAATACATGTGAGGAAAGGCCTTCTTTGGGGGCTAAAACATCCAGAGATCTTTGTGACCAGTTGTCCCTCTGTAGATTTTAGTGAATTTCCCGTTGCTTTTTAATATTTGAATATTGCACCATTTTTCTGGCAGACAATAAAGACGTATACTACAGGTCTAAAGTGACATAACCAAGGAAACGCTGCCTTGCTTTTTCGTTGCACTTTGGGGAAATACACCTTTGTCTGATGTCTAATTTGGGCATTTTGGTCTGGTGGAGAAGCTTTGTACAGCATTTATAGTGTGCTTGAGCTGACCACAAATTTAGATTTTGACCAAGAGGATTTTCCTTTGTGGTAACGAACCGATGGATGCAGTGGGGAAGAAAGGGGACAGACAGTGAGCATGTTGACCAGCAATCTCTGGATTGCATCTAGAGCATAGCCCTCTGGACTGTGACTATAAGGTTTAGGCTTTGGGAAGAGCAAGGGTCAAGAGTGGCTAAAGTTACTGATGTACCTGGACAGCCATGAATTTTTTAAAAAATCTTTGGAACATGCGAATGGAAAATCTGATATATTTGGTGTTTTTAAATGTAGCTTGCTTGCTTACAAACCACTATTGCAAGAAAGTGGCAGCTGCAATCTCCCCTATGCATATGAGCAAGAGGGAGGCAATCAGCTGTTCTAGCAATGTTCATGTTTTCCTTTGTAGTGGTACTTATATCTTTGTGGTGTGTGCACGCAGGGTGGGAGCCCTTTGTTGCGGGGCTGAGGGAAACTGTGGAAATGAAGTTCATGCACTTCAGCGTAGCTCCCCTCTCCCGTGTGATCCAGAGCACGTGTGCTGCTTTGGGATGTAATACCTCACCCTCCTTAACCTGAGCCCTCCAGTTCCTCTGTTCTAACTTGGAATTGCTTCCTGATGTGCATTCTGAAAAGTACGGGTGCACTCGTAGATAGAATCCAAATAAACACTTCGGGAATGCTGCAACATTTGTTGATACGGCTCTGAGTTTTGTTGTATTTACTTTTCCATTCTTGTTCTGTGTATTTCTTAAAATCTCACTTAATTCTCTTTTAGATCACAAAAAAAAAAAAAAACCCTGATGGAAAATAGCTGCACAGAAATAAAAAAATGTCATCTTCTCTATAAAGTAGAATAAATAAAATCTTGTTTACTGGTCGCTTCATTCTGTAAAGATGTTTCAGTCCTGTAATGTGAACCTGGAAGACTTGTCATGAGTTCACTTGGAGTCCTGGCTTTGCCTGAGTTATCATGTGTGTGCTTTCTTTAGTCATAAACCTGTTCCCGTTTGTTGCATAGCTGGTACTTAAACAACACTTCCTAGCTAACAATAGCAGGCAGCAGCTGATTGAGACACAGAAGAAATAATGCATTTCTTTAATGAGAACAGCAGTGTTGGTGAAAGATTTAAGACTTGATACCATCTATTCAAGTAAAGAGTGGTAGTGCTTTTTATTAACCTGTTCAGTCACTTCCAGAAATGTAGCTATGAACTGGGATAGCATTTGTGAAGGCCCTTCCAGTTGCAAAAACAAAGAGTCAGCAGGATTTCAAATTGCTTAGAAAAAGGAAGTTTTTATTACAGGTATTTTTATTTAAAATAGTTCATGTTGATGAAGAAGCCAGAGGACCATATAACAAAACAAATTTAGGTATTATGGCAACTCTAAAACTTAATCTCTAATACCAATCTTCTTGCAAAGAACATTATTTTCTTAAAGAAGTATTTTGTAGCTATGTGTAAAGTTTGCCCATTCTTTTGACTGCTACTAGTTTCAATATTACTCTTGCATGGTTTATTTGGTGAACAAAGACTTAAAATGAGAGCACAGAAATTTGGTTTTTTAACAGAACCAAGTAAAAAGCATAGCTAAAGCAGCTCTCAAGTGTGTTCTTAGTTTAGTCAAGTTTTCTAAAGGAAAATGTGTGTTCCTGCTGTTCCCTTAGCATTATTGTAATTTCAGTGTTTGAGTGTTTATGCTTGATTACTGGCTTTTGTTAAATATAACATTCTGCCCAGATATATGACAAAACAGGAACTTTCTTGATTGTGCATAGTCTTAAGTGGGCTCAGAAACTTTGATTGCCCTCAGACTCACCAGCCTTTTCTAAGTAAGCAAAAGGCAAAAGCCTTGCATTGTATAAGCTACAGTTTCCTTCAGAGATTTGACATGCTTGAGTGTGCACTCAAGCTGAGGCAGTACTGATTCTGGCTGTGCACTTATTTACACATGCAAAATTACAGGATAAATATGGCCTGTTGTTTAACAGCATTACATTCAAGATGCAATTAGATGACCCATTGCTTGCCTTACTCAGCATTCTGCAGTTGTACTTTCATGTGATGTAAATTTTTTCTTTTATGAAATAGACTATGGGATTAAGTAATCTCTAATATAGTCTTTCCCCACCACAGTCCTGCCTGAAACTTTCTCAAATCTTCACAGAAGATGGGTGCGTGCATAAATGGTAAATATATTGCTAACC